TTTTATTTATTTATTTATTTATTTATTTATTTATTTATTTATTTTAATGTTTAAGAGCAAAAGGAATTTTCATGGTAGAAAAAAATCTCAATCTGATCGGAAGAGCTTTGGTTAACTTTTATCTAGGTAGTGTGGAAGTGCTATTGTTCTAATAATTATCCCAATTGCCTTGCAAATAACTGAGAGTTGGGGCAGATTAAAAAGTTATAAGCATCGCTTTTAACTCTGTGTAGCATTTTCCACCCACATTGGCACTAAGCAAGCTCTGCTGTTAGTGTTTCTCTCTCCAAACTCCGTGTCCGCCTTGTCCTGACGCTTGCACCTTCATCCCCAGGAAAAACACACCAACATACGCATTCAAGCAGAGTCCCTTCTGGTATGGCTGATCCTTAAATATGCCTTCCTGTTTGTGTTCTTTTCCCTCTCTCCCTTCTTCACTTCAAAGCACGCCTCCGACCCTGTCCCAGCCCGTCTAGGACGTGCGCAGGCGCACCTGTAGGGCTAAAGATCGTGAGGACAATCACTGTGCTTTCAGCATATTCATCACAGAAGTAGAACTTGCTGCGTGCACAGGCTGAAGGGAAAGACTGCTGTGGGACTGTATCTCCGTAGGCCTCCAGTCTCAGGGACTTGTTCAGAAGGTCCGAGAGGTCAAAATTATTTCTGGGTGAAATAAGCATCTAAAGTCCAAGATAGAGCCGTGGATTTTAACATAACGGAGTAAGAAAAAAGTGGATTTTAATTCTTTCAGATTGCACTTCCGTTAACCACTGCCTGGTAACTTACTTTTAAGAAACTACCACTTGTCATGTTTTGGGGGTAGTATTAAAGATCAATATTCAAAATTATCGGAAAATATTGCTAATATATTCCTCCTTTTTCTAACTATATGTCAGTGTGCGGCAGAATTTTCTTCAACCAAAACAACATAACGCAACAGGCTGAATGCAGAAACACATGTAAGCGTCCAGCTGTCTTCTCTTACATAGACGTTAAAGAGATTCGTCCACATGAAAGACAATGCCACTTTCTCAACATTTTTGAAAAAGTTATTTTTTGATTAAAACATGTTATTTATGTTAACATGAATTTACTATTATGTTAAATAAGTAAACACGTAATTTTTTTTCAGCTTTAATTTCTAATATGGTAAATATTTTTTAATATAACTCATATAAACAATCTCAGTCTTTTTGTTTGTTTGTTTTGTTTTGTTTTGTTTTGTTTTGTTTTGTTTTGTTTTGTTTTGTTTTGTTTTGTTTTTATTTCCCTGAGCCAGAGTCTTGCTCTGTCACCCAGGCTGGAGCTCCGTGGCACTGCAACCTCTGCCTCCCAGGTTCAAGCAATTCTCCTGCCTCAGCCTCCCAAGTAGCTGGAATTACAGGCACCTGCCACCATACCCAGCTAATTTTTGTATTTTTAGTAGAGACGAAGTTTCACCATGTTGGCCAGGCTGGTCTTGAACTCCTGACCTCATGATCCACACACCTCAACCTCCCAAAGTGCTAGGATTATAAGTGTGAGCCACCGCACCCGGCCTCTCAGTCATTTTTAAGAGTGTAAAGAAGTCCTAAAACCAAAACATTTGAGACCCACAGTTTGAGACTGTCTAGTTTGTAGGCACCACTGCAGTTAACTCTATTCCAAAGACCTTCAGTCTTGGCTCTACAATTTCCTAAAATTGCATGAAAAAAGTCTGTGATGGTGTGATGGCACATTTTCTAGACGGAATTTCCCTAGTTCTGTTAAGCCTCAAAGGACTTAGTGACCTATTCAGGTCAGGGACCACAGCTCTAACCAGAGAGCCGGGAGCTACCCCTGCCCCTGCTGCCCTGCAGCACACTAAACACAACCCCAGCACTCCTTAAGGGTAATTGTCAACTCTTGGTCATCTATCATCTGTCAAAATTCATCTGACATATGGTTACAAGGGTTTTGAGAAAGAGAGAAGAAAAAGAATATGAAATTTTATAAATACTGTGAAAAGAACAATATGAGGCCATTTTCACAAAAATAAAGACAGAGAATATGAAAAAAAAGGAAAAATATAACTTTTAAAGTCTAGAGAATTATTCTTTTCTCATCTTCAAAATTTCTTTAGAAACCTCTTTATGTTGCCTTTACTATTAAAAGTGATGACATGAATGCTGGCATGACATTGTGATTCTTCTTCTAAGCCTTCTGGAAGCTTAGAATAACATTTAATGCACGTATATAGTAGCAGTATTAGCCCACATACATAAGTTTCTCTCCTTCCCAGCTATAGCTTTCGTTTTAATTTCTATACTTTGTACATTTAATTTGTACATTTGATCATTGTAATTTGTACACTTTCAATGCAAGTCACTGTGGATTCTTTTCGAAACAAACTTTTCAGACAAATCTGATTGAATTAATTCTTCTTAATGTATTGATCCGTATGAAGGTGGCAGGAGGGATACAGAGCCCGTGACTACTTTGCATTGTCACAGCTTGCCTTCAAGGGCACCTCCTCAGTCAAGCTGGAGGAGAGAGACATTGGGAGGGCAACAAAAATGAGGGTCCAGTGTGAGCCTGTTTCTTGAGTGTCTTTCCTGTAGGAATCCTGCTCCATTGTAACACTAAGATGATATAGTCCTCAACCTCCTTGAAACTCTTGGAAATCAAATGCCTTGAAAGAATGCTCTTGTGTCTTTCATTTGAAAACTATTTATTGAGGGTACTGTCAGATCTGGGCTAAGTCCATCCAATTCATCTAGGGTCAGAAATCCTTGACCTCTAATGGCCACTCCAGCTTTTGACCTGGCATGTGCCATCTGGCAAAGACCACCACGTATTCTCCAGGAAGCCTTGGAATAGAGCGTTCGAGGGGACCCAGTCCTGCAATGGCAGCTCAGCTCCAGTTAAGCTAAAAGCCTGGGCGGTTCTCGTTGCTGTTTTCAACACAGTTCTTCCTGTTTGCTTTGGGAAATAAAACAATAGTTATAAATATTTACATTTAAACCAGAACATTTTGACAACAATTGCGGCTGCTAAATGATTTATGAAACTTGTGAAATGAAATCGAGAAAGCTGGAAGACAAATGAGCTGCTGCTACGAAGGAAGGTTCCATTGGTTTTAATTTAGTAGATGATGCAGGTTTCCCAGAATGTAATTATACAGTGATACTTCTTAAGGGAGTTTGGTTTAAAAATATGATACTTTTAATTGCCATTTGATCATTAGCATTTCACTGTCATTGACCTTCAGCTGACAAATTACCTACTTAGGAGAGATATATTTCAATTTAAACTGTGGAGGGGGTGGTGTACTCCCTGTATCTGGGTCAAAAGCCAGACCGATGGATAAAAACTCCAATCTGGGACTCAGAGAAGGAAATATCTCCATATGACTTAAGTTTTTTAAAAATACACAAGCAATTTTCAAATAAATAAATATACGTGCTAATCAACAATAAAACACCTCTCTTTTTGTTACCGTTAACACTTTGGTCAAAGTGTGCAAATAGCTACGGAGTGTCTGCTGGCCTTGTAAACTGAGAGTTACAAATTGAAATCTTCCTGGCGATTTTGTTCTTCACTGAGAAGCAAGCATATCCTGTGTACTATGGAGTCAGAAGACCTGGATGTGAATTCCTCCTCTGACTCTTAGTAACTGACTGGCTAGGGAAAGTGACTTCCTTTCTCTGAGTCTCAGTTTCATTTCCTGGAACATGGAGAATAGGGATACCTGCTGCATGGTAACCCTGTTAAGTATTTAATGAGATAATTCAAGGAAAGAAGCTGGCAGCCTAACAGAAGCTGGATAAATAGTAGCTCTAATTGCTATAAGGGTAAGAGAGCTTTGAAATAATGGATTTGAACTCATATTTACTTAGAGTCCAGTAGACCCAGGGACTTCCACAGAGCTAAGTGGGTAAGTTAATTGGTGAGATAAATGTTTTTCCACATAACCTTGCTTCCTGCCATCTCTGGGGCCACAGACTTATGCATAAATTTTCACATCCAGGTGGAAGGAAATCTAGCTGTGAGATAGGGATAGATTTAAAGAAAAAAAAAAAAAGAAAGAAAGAAAGAAACTGCTCAAAAAAGAGAAGAAAAGGGCAAAGAGGGAAGAGGAAGGAATTCAGACTTCTCTGTCTAGCTCAGCAAGTACCCAAAGTATTGAAGAAGAGGAATAGAACTGAGCCTAAGCAGTATCTCAAGAACAGAGCCAAGAAAGTGCAGTGACATTCAGAGAAGAATTGTGGGAGCAAGTCTAGCAGAGGCCCAGTGGTGAGCACAGGCCCTGTGTGCCCTGCGTCATGAGGGAGGGGACTGCCAGAGTGGACAGGATCTGTGACAGAGCACACTGTGTCAAGAGGGCCTGCAGCATTGTGTGTGTGTGTGTGTGTGTGTGTTTGTGTACACACATGCACTCACACACATGCATGCATGTGCCCGTGTCTAGGTGTTGGGGGTAGAGCACAGGGTCATGAAGATAAGAGCCTGCTGGTTCAGAGCAGCACAGTGCAGGTAGAGCCCCAACATGACAATAATAGAGAAGCAACAATGAAAGTAAAAAAAAATAATAATAACCTAATCCCAGCACTTTGGGAGGCCAAGGCAATTGTGTCATCTAAGGTCAGGAGTTTGAGACCAGCCTGGTCGACGTGGTGAAACCCGTCTCTACTAAAAAGTACAAAAATTAGTTGGGCGTAGTGGCTTGAATACGTTGGATCCCAGCTCCTGGGGAGGCTGAGGCACTAGAATCGCTTGAACTGGGAAGACAGAGGTTGCAGTGAGCAGAGGTCATGTCACTGCACTCCAGCCTGGGTGATAGAGTGAGACCCCATTTCAAAATAATAATAATAGCTGAGAATAACCAGAAGAAGAAGGCCTGCTGCTGAAAAACCCCAGTCTGGGGGAGTCAAGACTTTAGTAAAAACTCTGTGTTCCAGTTACCTGTGAAGAGACGGCACGCTGCCGCAATGGAAAAAATACATGCACAGGAATGATCAAATCCCTTATTTCTTCCTCAGGTCAGTGGCCCAGACAATGCTTTTGATGAACAGATGATGAGTGGCAATGCAAGGTGAACTATTACAAGGATCCTGTGTGCTGTCAAATGAATTAAGAGGAAGGAAAAATTCCTCTGGGCTGCTGAGGCCAAGACACGCTTCATTTTAAGCTTAGTCCTGAAGATGAGTGGGATTTAGATAAAAAATAAAGAACGGGAATGAGCATGAACAAAAACGTGATGGGGAAAGCATACTTGCTATTTTCAAAAGCCAGCCGCAGCGCTATCAGAGGCAGGCAAATAGGCCCGGAAAAGTAGGTTCCCAGAGAAGGCTATCTTTGAAATACAGGCTGGAGCACTTAATCCAAAGCCAGAAAAATACTCCAACATTGGCTTCAGCTGCCCATCAAACTCGATTACATACAAGAGAATTTCATAAATATATCATTTTTTTCTCATTAGAATTCATTGTCTCTACTGATTTCAAAATCAGAAAATATTTATAGTTAAAGAAAAGAAGAAAATAGATGTTAAAATCGATTTCTATAAAAACTACTGCTACTGATTTTGCCCTAAATGCCTGGCAGTGGGCAAAGAAAGATACTGTTAACATTTAGTAGCTGCTGCGGTCACCTTGGCATAATCGAGTGAACACAGACTTTAATGGCAGTTTAATTAGATTTACCACGGGGAAGATGTCACACAGGAGAGGCGATGCTTCTGTATTTAGAAACCTATATGATGACATGAATAAATAAAAAATGAACAGAAAATGAAACATTGCAAAGATCACAGCAGTTATTTCTCTTCCCTTTCTCCTACAGTTTAAATACATATGGTGCTGTTCTCCTGCGGTGCAAAAGTCTAAGTGCCTTGATTGCTTATGGGAGTTGACGGTGCATATGGAGAGGAGGGTTCCGTGCCATGTTTTATATTTTATGAGCTGGCAGCATAGCTCCAAGAAAGATTTTCAATTGATTCTACTTTTTGTTGAATGAGAAGAGCAGGCAGATTTATCCGCACTATGAAAAAAATGTAGACGTTCCCCTCCAGAAGCTGGAGAGGTAGTAGATGGTCTCTGTGCCTGAGGAAACCAATGATACATCCTAGAGACCACTTTCCCCTAACACTCCAGAGGCTGAAAACTCAACAGACCCAGGCATGTTTATTTTTAATCTGTTGCCCTATAAAGAGGCTAAAACCTTCTTTTAGAGAGGCAGGCATAAAAGAGGAGCATGTGGAAGGAATAATTTGTGAGTCATTTCCCACATAAGAAACATGGTTAGACATCCTGTAATCATTTCCACACCTGTTGTGGGTGCCAAAAAGAATCGACTTAGAGCATCCAAATGCTTCCTGTAGGACATCATTCCAGGACCCAATCCAGCAGGTACAAAACTCTGATCAGTAGCTTCTGGTAAGTTGTTGACACCACCTGGGTATTTTGGAAGAAAATGCATGGATTCAGAAATGATGACTTAAGTATTCCACTTGGGATTCTTCCAGAAAAATTAGGCAGAACCGAGAACTGTCCACACATAAGGTAGACATTTTTAAGATCTCCTTGAAGAACTTTTATCTGTGGAGAGTTCTCATCCTATTTATGTGCTGATAAAATGAAATTTAGCAGCATTTCAAAGAGCTCAGTGAGCCTAATGGCAGGCCTTAAGTGAAATGCCAAGGCTGTGCCTCCCTAAGTGAGGTCTGTGTACCACCTGCATCTGCATGAAATTCCAGCATGGAGAAGGTTGTTGATAATGCAATTTCATAAGCTTCGTCTCAAGTTTGAACATGAATCTCCTGAGAATGGGAAAAACTCGAGAATCTCATTTCAGCCGTGCCCACCACCTCCACCTCTGTCTTCCAGAGGATTTTTATGTATACAGAGTCAGAGAAGCACTCCAAGAGAAATCTGGAAAGTTAAGTTTTAAGAAAGGATAGCAAAGTAGGTTACTTCTCTAGATTTCACAGTAACCTTTTTCCTGTAAGAATGGAAGCCATCCGTTTTAATGATTGCTGTTGCTGAATTGATTGGATGTGGCAGGGCAGAACAAGTTGGCCTTGGATGGCTGATTTGCTGCCAACATTTTTAAGAACATACCATGCATCGGGCATTGCTCTAAATTCTTTCCATTTATGATAGCATTAAATTCTTATGGCAACTTTGTCTGGAAAGTAGGTGCTTTTATTATTCCCCAATGTACACGTAGAAAATGAGATTTCCTAAGTCAGATCCTGCCCAATGCAAATGACGAATCAGAGAGATCAGAGAGAAAGGGAAAGAGGAATGCACCCTCCAAAGCAACACATCTGGCTACCTTCCCTCTGAGTAGAGAGAGAAAAAATATGGGCTTTAAAAAACCCAGATAAAAGTAGGAATCAGAGAGACCTTTAAGTCCTAGAAACAGAGATATCAACTCCTTCCGGAGCTAATAAACATCTAACATCCTGTGGCTGTTTTACATTAATTTTTATGTATTTAGGAATGTGAGTTACTGTAAGGTGGTCAAGCTCCCTTTAGTTACTCGTTTCTATGTATAGAATAAAACACTGAAGCGTTCTCATTAAATACATGACACCACTCTCCACGGATTTATTAAAAAGACCCCCAGAGAAGAGAGTTATAAAATCTGATCAAGTCAGCAGTTCCAGCTGTGAAATTGATATCCATTATTTTCTATTGACTGCTGTGCAGAACTTCAATTTCTGTAGCATAAACAGAATTCCCATTTCTTTTGCAAGGAGACTGCCATGGGGTATAGCTAAAAATAAGCTTCATCAGCAAAATTATTTCATAAATTCCCAGAGACTTTCAGGAAAGTTCCTGAGAGAACGGTTTCCTATGAAAGTATTTCTTCACCATAAATCATTTTTATATTTCAAGTCATTACATTTGTTCTACATGATTATTTTCTCTTTGTAACATATAACATAGGGTACAAGCTCCAGAAGGTGGGGAAATGAATAGCTAAGAGCAAAAAGGCATGTCAGAAGATATCCAAGTCTCCATTTTTCCTTCTGTCTTTCACAGAGTCCTTAAGGTTCTCGCCCAAAACAAAGTAATCCAAATATATTATGCTTTACAATTATTTTTTTCATGATTCCAAAACATAGTTTTATGTTTTCTCTTGGGAGGGAAAGAATTAAGCATTACCCTGATAAGATTTGTAAATTTCTTACTGAGTTGCAGGAAAAAAAAACTAACAGGTGTTTTTTAAGTTCCAGGAAAAAAAAACGTAGTAAGATGTGTTAGTCTGTTCTCACACTGCTGATAAAGACGTACCTGAGACTGGGTAATTTATAAAAGAAAAAGAGTTTAGCTGACTCAGCATTCTACATGGCTGGGAAGGCCTCACAATCATGGCTGAAGGTGAATGAGGGCAAAGTCACATCTTACATAGCGGCAGGTTAAGAGGGCATGTGCAGGGGAATTCTTTGCTACAAAACCATCAGAGCTCATGAGACTTAATCACTATCATGGGAACAGCACAGGAAAGACCCACCCCCATGATTCAATTACCTCCCATTGGGTCCTCCCATGGCACATGGAAATTATGGGAACTACAGTTCAAGATGAGATTTGAGTGGGATGCAGTCTGACCATCTCATGAGAGTTACCTTTTCCCATGTTGATCCATTTCCAAAGACAGTCTGTATGGTACAGATGCTCCACAGAGGTAACAAAAGATTTGTGACCTCCTCTTTCAGCTATGACTTACAACCCTACAAGTCCTAATATTTGCATTTCTGATGGTTTTCTCAGGAAGACTGGAAGGCACTTGGGCTTTCCATTCAAATTCTTTTTGCTTTTGTTTTTCTTCTTCAGCTATTTGCATACTGTAATTTTAGTCTCCTTGGCGGGGTGTTAGTGAAAATACTTCTTTCAACTTTTTTTGGTGGGGGGGGGGGAATAGTGTGATGCTAACACAGAGCAGGATTTAAGTAAAGATATTTTTCAAGCCTTTTGACTTCAAGCCTTTTGATACTGATCCTGCTCATAATTGCTATTTCTCCTGGAGCAGACACCGTTCCATGGTGATTCGTTTCCTTAGCTAAATATCCCCAACAGCATAGCCCTTTGGGAGTGAAGATGGTTGCTTCCAAGTAGAAGTGATGAGCTCCCAGGCCTGTTAATATAGTATGTTTGTTTGTTTGCTTCCTTTAAAAGTGTTGGAAGTATTCAGGGAGAGCCCACTGGACTCCAGTCATAAAATTCATAAAGACTTAGCCCCGAGGTAAAAGGGAAATGGCAATATTTGTCCATGTTTTTGACACTTTCTTGATTTTTGTTCTCTTTATTTTCCAACCTCTTGAATGCTCAGTCAATGTCTCTTTTCTTCGAGATTTGGGACTTTATCTACTCATCCCAATAGAGTCCTATACATAACATCCTCTGTCACTCAACTCCTGCTGGATCCCCCAATCCACACTCCCTGCTGACTCTCTTCACACTGTAACCTCTCCTGCCACATGACCTCAGTCATACCCGCTTCTGTCCTTCCCTTCCCACATTCCCCATCCAGTATACCTGCACCCACACACACAGACACACACATCTGTCCCACTGTACCACACACAGTTTGACAAAGCTCTTATGACGCTACCTGGTTCACTACAGGTCCTGCATACATGTCACTAATTTATTTCCTTCCTCTTTCCCTCTTTTCACTTCTCCAGGAGTCTTCAGATCCTAAAAGAGGATTCTTGAGAAAGGTCATTGGCTAATAAATACAAAAGGAAGTTACCAAAAAATTATATTTCAGCCATAGGGTATAAGCATGTGGGTGGCGCCAGGGGTGTGGGTAGAGAAGGGTCTTTTAAAGCCACAGATTTGTGACTTTAAGAAATAGGACTTATGGCTGATGCAGTGGCTCACAACTGTCATCCCAGGACTTTTGGAGGCTGAGGCTGGCAGATCAACATGACAAAACCCCATCTCTACTAAAAATACCAAAATTAGCTGGGTGTGGCATGCCTGGAGTCCCAGCTACTCGGGAGGTTGAGGCAGGAGAATCGCTTGAATCCCAGAGTCAGAGGCTGTGGTGAGCTGAGATCATGCCATTGCACTGCAGCCTGGGTGACAGAGCAAGACTCTGTCTCAATAACAACAACAACAAAATGGGCTTTTGCACTTATGTTACTGGAGCATGAAAAATTATGAACTGTTTTTATTTTGCTCTATTATAACAGACAATTCAAGAATCTTTAGGGCCAGAAAGCAGCATCACTTGGAATGCCCATTTATGTCCCCAGTGGGGAGCCAGTCTCTCTTCTGAGCTGCTCCTTGCCGGGACGGGGCGAGCAGAAGGGTAATTTTACATAGGTCACGTGTTTTCCATTTATCCTACACTTTGCGCAGTGGTCCCCAGGAAGTATTTTATATGTATTTCTATATAATTTTCTTCCCTGCTAGGCCTCCAGCTTTTCAGCAAAAGAGCTGCTCTTAAGGTCTGATAAGAGGTATAAACGATCCTCCTGGCTCTAAGTAAAACAAAGCAGTGTGATTA